GAGGTTAAGACGCTGAACTGCAGGCTGTGGAAGGTCGGTAGTTCAGCAGTTCAAAACCCGAGTGTGCCGCATGACGGAGTGAGCTCCCGTCTCTGTTCCCAGCTCCTGCCAACCTAGCAGTTCGAAAGCAAAAAATTGCAAGTAGATAAATAGGTACCACTTCGGTGGGAAGGTAAAAGGGTTCCGTGCGCCTCGGTGTTTAGTCATGCCAGCCACATGACCACGGAAACGTCTTCGGACAGCGCTGGCTCTTCGGCGTTGAAACGGAGATGAGCACCGCAACCCTAGAGTCGGATTCGACTGGCTTTCAAGCAAGGGAAACCTTTACCTTTACCTCTTTATATATAAAGAATGTGAGGGAGTCTTTAACAATAAAAGGAGTGAGCAAGAGAAGGATACTTTGCCCTGGATCCCTTTTGGAATTTTCCTGGGCATTTCCAGCCACTGCCATCTAGTTGCCATGCAGGAACAAACGGCTGGGTCTGAAGCATTGTATGGAGCTGGTGTTACTGATGACGGGTATTTGAATGAATACAGGCCAGACACCGTGTCAGCGTTCCCGAACAAACGCATTGATTTCCAGCTGGAGACAGAAGGGGTCGAAACGTGACGTGGCTTCAGCAGACCTGTTTACACCTTCCTGTCTAGAGGCAAGTTGTTTTGCATTGGAACTTATTTCAGTTCTGGGCTTTATTCAGGATCTCATTCCCATTTCAGTTGTGTCCACATTCTGCTATTCAAAACTCCAGTTCTGGCGATGTATAGAATCCTAGGTGCTAACCATCCAGGATAGAGTTGAGATGTTTGAGTATCTTCTCATGGGTAATTTAATACAGCCTGTTTATTTATTTATTTAAGCTCAGGGTTGGATAGGACCCCCAGGGTCATCTAGTCCAACCCGCATCGCCCCGATGTTGCTGACACAATGATGTCACTTCCGGGTCATGTCAGAAGTGACATAGACACGTCATTGCAATGTTGATTGGGCCTTGTTCTTTTCCTCAGTAAGTTCCCCCCCCGTCAGCAAGCTGATTGGCAGCAGGATGGTGGGGCCTGGTGGTGGAGGACCCCCCGCCTCCACTGGGGGGAGGTTTTGACAAGCCTAGTATAATGCTGTATAGCCTGCCCTCCAATGTGGCCATTTTTCTCCAGGGAAACTGGAGAAACTCTGTTGTTCGGAGATCAGTTGCAATTCACGTTGGGGCGATGCTCTGGTAGTTGGGCAAAATCTCTATGGTAAATTTGGCTTCTACTGTAGAGTTTTTGACCCAAATACCACAGCATCGCCCCGATGTTGCTGACACAATGATGTCACTTCCGGGTCATGTCAGAAGTGACATAGACATGTCACTGCAGTGTTGATTGGGCCTTGTTCTTTTCCTCAGTAAGTCCCCCCCCCCCATCAGCAAGCTGACTGGCAGCAGGATGGTGAGGCCTGGTAGTGGGGGACCCCCGCCTCCACGAGGGGGGGGTGTCTGACAAGCCTAGCATAATGCTGTGGCTTCCAATGTTGCCATTTTCTCCAGGGAAACTGGAGAATCTCTGTTGTTCGGAGATCAGTTGCAATTCTGGGAGGTTGCGAGCACCTGGAGGTTGCGAGCCCTGAATGTGTGTGGCAGTGTCAGAACCCACAGCCAACAACGAAGTACACATTCAGGAACGGTTATACTTTTATTGCAGAGCTATAGATGCAGTAACATAGGCACTGTTAAGAATGGCGGCGGCCCCATGGGCATAATGGGATATAGGGTATGCATATGCACCCCCCCCCCAGTACTGGCCAATTAGGCATCCTCCCGCACGCGGGCTAAAGCTTAGAGACCATTAGGTAGCTAAAGCTGAGAACGAACATTCTCCCACGGCACCTTGGGAAATCCCAGACACTACAACACCCTCCTGCACATCTGTATAGATATGCATTTCGGCGCACAGCAGAGAAAGCACAGAAAGGAATGCAGTAGCAATTAACCTGAAAAGAAAGCAATAGCAATTAACCAGACACAGACCAACCTCCCCAACCTTCATGGCAGCATAGCTGACACAAGGCAGCAGTAAGCTTTCTGGTACACCATCAATTTAAGTAGTCCTCCAATATAAAAGACCAAACTTATATAATTACATACCAACTTTAAAAGAGCTCAAATATAAAATATTAGAAGTAGCGGAAATGGACAAATTCAGTATAAGACTACAAAATAAATCAGAGGAGATGTTTTGGAAAAGACGGAAAACAATTTATGACTGGCCGAAGATTAAGAAGATGGACTAGACTCAAAAATATGTAAAGATATATTATATATTATGTCATGTATAAGAAATAGAAATATGCTTTATTTAAACAAAGGTTTAATTACACAAACATATTTATGACTGAAACTGAAAATAAAATTATATATATATTAAAAAATTTAAGTAGTCCTCCTGGATCCAAGCACTCTTGTCCCTCCCAACGACATGACCCGCAAGAAGTTTTTGGTAACCTGAGGAAACACCCATGTGCCCTCAAGCCCACCTGGCTCCCAACCCTATGTTCCTTCTCCAAACCCGATTTCCTGGCTCCACTGCACAATATCAGTACTCCAGAAAGCCAACTTTGAATTGCTTGACGATACTGCAGAACAATTGCCTACATCCACCCTGGTTTTTTTGGCATGCTGGTTTCTAAACATGAGTCTGCACGCAGCCTGCCATTCCACAATGATAACGCAACGGCTTCCTTCTAGACCGGGGCATATGCCGCGCTACAGAAGTCAGAGACCGAGGCCTGGTGTGTTGACCCTGCGTCAGGAGAAGTTCTCCAAGGGAGCAGCGTAGATCCAAAGGACAGAGTTCGTTGTAAGTACCTATGGCTTCTTTTCTGAGTTGTCCATTGTTGCTGAAAATTGGCTAGCGCTCTAGTGAAAGCGTCTATTTTATTCTATCTCTGCCCTTGGCCTCAGCATGCGGAGCGCTTCATAAAGCCATTTGTGTTCTCCGAACTCAGCATTCATTCTGAGAGCGTAAGCCATCGAAAATTCTCTTCACGTCACCTCAGGGCTGTTTGTTAGGTTACAATTCTCCTGCACATTATTAAAGATTTTCAGCTGATGAATCATTTGTTTTTTTAACCAATTACCTTAAAAAAAATCTATTGCACTGAAACCATAGAATTTTGGGCGGATCCTACAGCGTCACCCCGGCGCAATGACGTCACTTCTTTTTTATCTTCCCTCCATCTGGTAAGTGGTGGCAGGGAATATGGAGGGATCCACCTGGGAGGTCTCTTGCTGTAGCCCTGGACCCCATACTTCTTGTAACGAAGTCAGGAGGATTAAGTGAGCATGTATAGTTCTGTCATGCCTGCCCCTGCTGATGACATGCCTGCCTTTGCTGATGCCCCTGAACAGGCTCCTGAGGACCCTGAACAGGCTCCTGAGGACAGTACTGCAGCAGAAAGGCAAAGACTGGATCCTGTAGCTGAAAGCTATCTAAGTGGTGAGGAGGATAGAGCCTCCCAGGGAACACCTGCAAGGGATCAGTCTCTGCTGCAGCCCAGTAATTCATCATCAGACTCGCCTCCACCTGTAACCAGGCTCAGGAATGTAAGAAGACAACAGCTGAGAGAGCAAAGGCAGAATGCACGCATGCGTGCCAGAAGATCTCTTAGCCCTGATTACTGACAGGATCCTGTCCTCACTCCTGGCTAGCTAATGAGTTGATTAGCTAGCACTGTATATATGCAAGTCTGTTGCCAGCAGTCATTTGTGCTGGCAAACGTCGTTTGTTCAGGACCTGAATCCTTGCATCTCTGCTCCAGACCTTGTGGAATTCTTCTCGGCTTGATCCTCGGCTTTTGACCTTTGGCTTTGTTGACCCTGCGTTCATCTCTGACTCCTCTGGTATTGTTGTGATTTATGGACTTGAAACTTTGGTATGTCTGACCCTGCTTTTGGACTGTGATTTAAACCTGCTTGAACCTTGCTACCTGATTTGCCCGGCTTGACCTCGGACTGTTCCTGGACTTTTGCTTGCTTGTGTCACGCCCCCTGGTCCTGCCGTGACAAGTTCATTCCACCATCCCTCAGAAGGGCCAGACTCTGGGCCAGTGACTGAGGAGAGCACTATCTGCTCTCTTCACCCACTGTGGGAGAGAACCAGGGCTATTTTTGGGCAGGAACACACAGGAACGGAGTTCCGGCTGGCTTCAGAGTTGGCCACGCCCATTACAGCCAAAACCTCTGCGTACGTGGCTACAGAGGGAAGGCCTGCAGAGCGACCCCCCCGGCGACTCTGAGGTGGGCAGTACGAGGGGGGACCCCTGGAACGATCGGGGAGGAATTTAAATGCCTCCCCATGCCTTCCCTAGCCTGTCCAAGGGCCGGCTTGCCTGGGTTCCCCGCAGCCACGGGTTGCCTGGGCAAGCCAAGGGAAAGCATGGGGTGTGACCTAATATGCTAATGAGTTTCTGCTGTCGGGTGTGGCCTGTTATGCTAATGAGGTCCTGCTGGGGTTTTTCTAAGAACACCATGGCAGCTTGCTGACAGTGAGGTGGTGGTGTAAGGTGATGAGAACCCCCCTCCTTTTTCCATATCTGAAGCCCTGCAGACCACAAGGGGGTCTCGAACTAGGGGTGACAGAGAGATATCTGCTTGAAGGCAGGTGTTCAGATCTGCATCCCCCCCCCCCCCCCCCCGGTCTCACATGTATTTAGTAGACTGAGTAGTAGCCATCAGCAACAGCATAACATCACTTCCAGGGCACCACTTTCAGGGGGGAAAAGTGATTTCACTCCTATTTAGGAACTGTGGAAGACTCTGTGGGTCTACCATGGATTTTTCTGGCCAGTCTTAGAGAGGCACGACATCACTTCTGGGTTTTCCCAGAAGTGATGTCACATCATAGTTCTGCCAGCCATTTTAAAAACTTTTCTCCAGCCAGCGGGTTGCTGGCAACCCTAGACATAATGTCTGAGCAATGTCTTTTTGAAGTATTCAAGTAAGTGGAAGATAACTTTAGAATTTGATAATGAAGAGCTCACACTAATTCTGAGAAGGAAAAGCCTTCTTTACCATTCTCTCTTTCATTCCCTGTTACAGTAACAACATCGCAGTGGAATTAGGCTAAAAACCGCCCCCACATACATCCTTAATTATAGAATCTATTCTCACAAGGTAAGGTGAAGACCCACCAGATTTGTTGTTGTTGTTCAGTCGCACAGTCGAGTCCGACTCTTTGCGACCCCATGGATCAGCTCCCGCCAGGCCTTGCGGTCTTCCGCCGTCCTCTGCCTGGCCACCTGTGCTCCTCAAGCCAGTGTGCCTGGAGTGCCCCTTGCCGGTCCAGATCGCAACTGCGTGTGCTGCTCAGTCCGCTCCCCTCGGTCAAGGAAAAGGCCCTTTGAAGACTACGCAGCCTGAGCAGAAATGAACGGCGCTTAACTTCTAAAACAAGATAATGCCAGCCGATTCAGGTCCTTCGTCTGTAGGAGTTAAATCAAACAGGACTCCGGTTTTGATAGCGGATGGGAAGGAGATGGAGGGGGGGGAACCGAGCAGAGCTCCTGCTGGTTCCTCCTCCGCCTGCTGAGTTCCTCCCCTTTTTTTTCCCGCAGCCATACATGACTACTGGGAATACAATTGCTTTGACCATGCGGACTTTTGTTGGCAGGGTGATGTCTCTACTTTTTTATCATGCTGTTTAGGGGGCATTTAAAAAGATTGGACAAATTCATGAAGTACAGACCTATCAATGGCTATCAGTCATGATTTCTAAATGGAACTTCCCTTCTCAGAGGTAGTCTGACTTCCAATTACTGGGAGAGTTGCCACAGTGGCAGAGGACTGCCGCCTTCATGATCTGGTTGGTGGGTTTCTTGGAAACATTTGGGTATCCACAGCTGGAAACAGGAGAGGGGCTGGTTGAATGTAGTGTTACAGAAACTGACCTGTGATCTGGAAGATCGGCCATAATCTTGCCTCTCTTACTTCTGAGTAAACATTGATAGGGTACGTTACAGGGCTATTTTTGGGCAGGAACGCACAGGAACGGAGTTCCGGCTGGCTCCTGAGTTGGCCACACCCAGCAGGAACGCATTAGCATAACAGGCCACACCCAACAGCAGACACTCATTAGGATTGGCTACATTAGGGGTGTGTGGCCTAACATGCAAAGGAGTTCCTGCTACAAAAAAAGGCCCTGGGTTTTGACAACAAACAAGGTAAACAGAATAAGAAGCGAAAGGTGGGTGTGGCTTCTGGTAACATGGGGGTGTGACCTATATGCTAATTAGTGGTGCAATCAGGGGTGTGGCCTAATATGCTACTGAGTTTCTGCTGCTGGGTGTGACCTATTATGCTAATGTGTTCCTGCTGGGCTTTTTCTACAAAAAGAGCCCTGGGGTACAGCTGCATGGAGTGACCAGAGTTTCTCATCTTATTTCAAAGGCCCCAGTTACTGCAGCACGCTGAAGTCCAAAGCTCTCTTGCGGGAACTTGGAAGAGGATCCCTCCCCCAATGCGAGAGCAGCGGTGGGATTTTCTCCCCGACGCAATGCGATGACAACCAGGAAAGCTGTTGGTGTGTCTTTGAGAATGGCGGGGAGGCTCCCGGGACACAAGACACCAGCAGGATGCCTGCCTGTGAACGTGAGTCAAGCTTGCGGTCTGAGCCAGGGTTGCCAACTCCAGGTTAGGAAA